TGCTAGCGGTCGGATAAGTTTTACCATGAATGATATCAAAGCAGAGAGAACCCTCGATCCTTCATCGGATCGCATGCTTCGCTGGGTAGCGGTCGTAAGCAAGAAGTGAACCAAATTTATAATCGGTCCCGACCAATGTACTTACCATTCTTCAAAAGTTCAGATCAGGTCCAAATTGACTATTTTTGAGGAAGCCCCACCCCCAGTGGGCGGAGTCTACACCTGTCACCTACCATGAGTTTCCCCATCTTGCCACCTACATCTCTGCCAAATTTGAACGACCCAGGTCCACTACCATTAGTGTTCCCATCTTGCCGCCTACATCTCTGCCAAATTTGAGTACTCTAGGCTCAGCAGCAAAGGAGTTACAGATTTACGGCGAACTACACTATTCGTGCAAGCCTCGCCCCTAGTGGGCGGAGCCTAGCTTAGATCACGTGCACCCAAGAAGTTCGGCTCACTCCCCACTTTTCATCCCCAGTAACTACTTGTTCCAACCTGTCTGAGCTGTTCCACTTCATTTCCAAACGACGCCCTCGATACAGTGATAGTGTTAAGATAGTTACAGTGAAAAAGACATACAAACATACAGACATACAAAAAAACGGACATTTGTGGTTTATATATAGTAAGGATATTTGAGAGAAGCGTTCGCAACCACCTACAGGGGTATACATCACATCTTGAATGGCCACTGCGACCAAGAATCTTCCCCTTGTAAGCTTGCCAAAAAGAATTTGTTCCAACCTTACCGTAACACACCGTTTTCATGCCCAGAAGGTTTATAATGTGCTGACCAGGGAAGGATCCCAACTCGAAGTGGCCATTTGAAATAAGACCTAAATCGCTAGACGTGTTTTTGGGCGCTGAATTCAAATCCGCTTTCCAAATCTGCCAAGCGATTCTCTGAACGGAGTTATGAGGGTGGTTTTAGGTGGCATTACATGAGAAAACTTAAATTACATGGAAGCAGCTCTCTCGCCAACGGCGGCTTGGTGTAGTGGTAAGCGTGACGCTTCATGGGCGAGAGGCTAGAGTTCGGGTTTTGTGGGTTACCGAGTCTTTGCATTAGATAGAATTTTTCCCTCCAGGACTAGGAAATACTCCCATGGTGATTTTTTCAGGTTTTATGACCTTCTATGGCTTTTGCCGATATTTATCCACTTAAAGTAATGCTTCAGTTTTACTCGCATGCCCATGCACTCTATATTCACAGCAGGATTCACAGTAGGGTAACTTTTGCCACTTTATGAACAAATGTGATACTCTAGCAAGAAATGCTTGAAACAAAGAAACTTATCACAATGGGTGAAACGGATGAAAAAGAACTCATCACAGCCCATTGCTTTACACTCACTAACCCCAAATCAGAAGGAAACAGAATTGAGTAGGCGTCCCAAAATCACCGGGTGAGTGCTCAAGTAGCCGGCGGCATAGCATGAATGAGCATGAATAATAATAAGAGAAACTTTCCAAATGTCACCACCCAGAACTGAAAATAGACAGACGATAGTAAGCAAAGAATGGAGTCTCGTGTGTACACGTAAAAGTTGAGATCACGAGCTGTTACATATGTGGTGGTGCGTTTAACCATATTTTTAGAAAGAAATAAGAAACGAGCTTCTATCGGCTGTCTTAGCCTCGTGGTAACCTCGAGCAGGGTGTCATTCCCTTCACCTGCTTTTGTGGAGGTAAGACACTCTGAATAGCTTTTTGGTCTTCGAATGATGTCCACGAGTTCACTATCAACAATGTCGGTGTAGGTAAGTCCGGGACTGCTTCGCACCATCGCACCTAATCTAGTATCTACACCCACACTAGCAACAGCATTGCTCAATACATGCGTTTTACTCGCCCGGACCTCCAAATTTTGCGCAATTTCCCACTCGGTCACAGGTAGGTAGGTAGGAGAAGGTATCAGCAAAGCATCAAAAGGTCATAAAACGTGATAAAATCACCACAAAAGTATTTCCTAGTCCTGTAGGGAAAAATTTTATTTTATGCAAAAACTTGGTCCCCCACAAAACCGGAACCCTAGCCTCCCACAGCGTGCCCCATGAAGCGTCACGCTTACCACTACACCAAGTCGCCGTTGAGGAGTGAGCTGCTTCCATGTAATTCAAGTTTTCTCATGTAGTGTCACCTAATACCACCCTCATAATTCCGTTCAGAGAATCGCTTGACAGATTTGGAAAGCAGATTTGAATTCAGCGCCCAAAAACACGCCTAGCGGTATAGGTCTTATTTCAAATGGCCACTTCGAGTTGGGATCCTTCCCTGGTGAGAGCAAATTTGAAAAAGGCGTTCGAACTTCTGCTGCCGGCGCTCTAATAACCGCATCTAGTGCTGAGATTCCAGAGCTCTTATGCTCCTCAGTAGAAGACAAAGATAGACCTACCGCGTTGCTAGCATTGCTAAAAACTAAACAAAAGCAATGCTGTTACAGTTGAGATACGTTAGGAATCAGCTATGAGTTCGCTCTCGAACCTACTAATACTGTTAAAAAAACTCATGAATGACTGACAAAGACTATGTTCTACAGTGAAGTCGAGGAAACTCTAAGGCAGGCCTCGAAAGAGGTAGATGATGAAAGAAATGGGCATCGGCTGATAGTGAATAGAATCTAGCGCCTCGCCTTCGAAAAAGTGGACAACCAATCTCAAGCCGTCATGAGCACAACATCGGTTCTAGAAAAAGTAGATAAATAGGAGCGACTTAACTGCTCAGCATTACGTGAGCCATTCTGTGAAGTGTGGTTTAAACGCGACATGGAATCTGAATAAGCGACATAAGCGCCTGGGAAGGTATGAGCAATACAGAGATGATGTAAGGTCGTCCCGATAAGAAGATTTTGGATTGAATTTCGGACGAATTATGAGGCGAGACGATGAGATTTTGGAGAACCACAAAAAACAAGTGTCAGGCAAGACCAAGGAAGACATTGTCGTAACCAAGATTGCAGCAGAAGGTGTCGTAGATAGAAAGAAGTGACGAGAACTAAGAAGAAGAGCAGACCCCTCTACGGCACGATTTGACCGATCCATTCCATCCATACAGACCGATCCGATCTCGAAAAACGCTTTCACAAAATCATGAAAAGCTCCATAATTGTAGAAGTAGCGGAGTGCTTGAATCCATACGGGATAAAGGCGGATAAGAATTATGAGTCACCACTGCGATTGGTACCGTAATTGATATCAATTATCGTAGAAAAGCACTACTGTTTATTCTGTACTCATAACTGCAACTGCTTGTGAGCAGAGTGTACAAATCAACAGTGCATAGAATAGGCCGATAGGAACCTTGATTCATTGGATTGGTTTCATTGATGTCGCGCACTTGATCGTTTTCGCACAGTATATGAGGACAGGGAGAGCGCTTCGGTCTAAGCTTGCAGTTCCATGACCGCAGCTGCGACTCGAGGCAGAATTTTGGAAAAATGGACAAGGAACAAACCATTTCATTCCCATTCTGGTCAACGGCATCGAGTAGGCACGAATTGGATGAGTCAAATGACAAGCCATAGTCTCCAAGCTTCTTCTGCAGCTCTTAAATGCGTATGGGTCAGATATGCACAAAAGAAGAGCGAACTTTATATCACACATAGAAATTGTGCGTAAATTAAGCGCGAACATCATAACCCACTCTAAAAATTCCATTTGAAGGTTTGANCTCCATAGCCCCTATCACAATTAACAAGGTGGGTTAGTGTACATGTATTCGCCACACTTGAAATACCGCCCTAATAGCTTGAAGTTTTTAAACTTTGATATTGACTCTTTAAATCTGCACCGCTGTAATAGGCAGAGCTCTAAATCTGAACTAGGTTAGAACTGGTCTCCGTCTATGTTTTCTTGCACTTGCTTAGCCGCTACATCGAGTTGCAGGCAAGCAGAAGAAGGTTTTTCATGAGGTTTTTCTCATTGCCTTTTGCTGCAGAGACAACACGCGCGCTCTCTTCAACAAGACTGGTAAACTTCAACAATGCGAATGATTCCTATACATAGTGCACACATTACATTGCAGTCTCCCCGCCTGCAACAAGTTATTGAAAATTTGTACATCGTCGCTAGAACTGGACACTGTTTCTTCCCTCATGTATCCTTCACGACAGTACTGTAATCATTCCATAGCTCATCATGGGTTCGTAACGGAATTGCCTTCGTTTGAGAATGAATATAAATATTGGCAAGAAAGATTTCCACAAAAGTCGAAGCGTTAAAATATCGTGTAAATAAAGTACACGCGAAAAATGACCGTGCTGAAGTAAACGCCCATTATGTACCGTACTTCACAAGGAATACACTTTTTGATCACCATTTGTTTCGGTTGCTTAGCTAGCACTTTGACGGGAGAAGAAAGTTCGTAGCTTATGAAGAGGCAGATAATACTTCTTTGGGTCTTTGTCATCAGGACAAAATGCCTCAGAGAAATTCACTTAAAGGATGATAGAACACTATCTCTAGTGAAAAATTCTGATGTCCTAAACTCTTTTTTAAATTTTAGAGATTCAAAAACTCTCGCTATTGAAGAGGATATCTCTTTTGCCAACAATGAAGAATAAGTGTTGCGATGGTGATTTTGTTCGCTTCTTCGAAATAATGGGATTATTTGTGAACGGATAATGTGTAAAAAACCGTTCCAGTCGGCAATGAGAACCAAACCATTTTCTGGATGGACTGGCCATAGGTTAGGATGTGCAAGGCTCGCATGGAGTATGCGAATCCACGACCGGACTAACTCTGCCTAGCTCATATGTGTGGTGCAATGCTGAGCTATACCTACGTTATGAGCATCACGCGTGATTACCAGAATTGTCGGTCCCCAACTCGGCAGATCGCAACTTGATTGCAATATAGCCCAGGTGAAATATATCTATATCTATATATATATATATATATATATATATATATATATATATATACATTATATACATTATATATACAGGGTGGGCCAAAATTATGATGATTAATTAAACATGATGACGGTGGCGCCAACCCTTACACAAAATTTTTCTCTGAGTTTATAACATTTGATTCTGCTTCTTCCATTTCATAACGTAGATAACATTGTCTCCTCCCTAGTGATACTGAACTTTTGGCAGGTCTACTAAATAATGGAAACGTAACTATTCCGTAAAACAATCATCACTATGCATTTACAAGCACTTATGGCACGATATATACACAGAAGACTCGATATGACAAGGTAGCTGGTATATTCGACCATAGTAGGTTTTCAATAGTTCTGAACAACTGCATATCGAAGCAGTGAGTATAAGAGGCCTACGGTTACATTTGGGAGGAGTGTAGCACGGTAGTAGGGCCAAGGTCTGCGTAGCAGTGAAGTTGATTCTGCGGCCAAAATGGGTGGTGGATATCTCATTAGGTTTTCTGCGCTAAATCATGATACATCATCTCCACGACAAGTCCTTTATACGATCAGAAAGTGATTTTTTGAGTGAGCAGGCTAAAGAGAATAGAAAGGTTGGTCCACAACAGCTGCTACGCCGTTTCCGAAGAAATCGTCTTGGGGAATTCCTATTTATCGACAAAAAGATATTTACGGTGAATAAGTGACTCAATAAGCACAGGTCCCGTGGGGGGAGGGGTGAAACATTTGATCGGATGAATCATGGACTGGTTTCCACCTTTTTTAGGCTCCGAAGAAGGCGAAAATCGCCGAAACGTCAGCCGACTTATTGCAATATCTAACCTCGTGAACTGTTCAATAAAATAAAGTTGTATTCGAGCGACAGGATTTATACGAAGCTGAAAGAAATGGAAGTGACACGGCGCCTGGCTCATTGAGCATCTGTGATAGACTTCGCGAGCATCACTGTCGAGGCAGACACCGACTGTTTTTGAAAATTAAGGGGTGAAGGCTAACTTGGAGACCTGTTTGATCTCGCCGTGTGCAATGGGACACTTGGCGATTCGAAGTGGACATATTGTCGAAATGCAAATCCTGGCCGCAGATCAGAGATTGCCCAGGAATTTCATAAAAAGAGTTTCCCGACTTTATAACCTCCTAAGCCCTGACCTGGACCCCATGAATGTCTCAGTGCGGTGAACCTTTTAAGTAAAACTGAAATAATCTCAAAAATGCCTTAAAAAGCATGGATTAATACTTTGATCTTACCTGAAATCCGCCGTCGACGCCTTTCACCGACGTTTCCGAACTTGAGTGGAAGCAGAAAGCAACATATTTCAGTTCCACTGCACTATTTTATTGAGAGATTATTGATGAACATTTTTTTTGAAATTGGTTTGTTTTATCAGCTTTCTATTCGTTCTCGGTAATGTGATATCTCTGTCATAGTTTTGGCTCACCCTGTATATATTATATATACAATGTTTACATGCATACATAAAAGCATATATACAACATATACACAACTAAGTATAATACATACATAGATAAAAGCGCATCCGCGGCTCTAGCCTATTCACAACTCGGTCCTCGGTTTTCAAGCGTAAACAACGTACCATGCTATTTATACTTCCCTTTAATCGCATTCCTAAGCAGTTCTCTCGAAACAATTCATATTTTAGATACATTATATAATTTCACACATTTATGCCACGGGTTACCCTCTCGCAATGTCAGGTTATAGGTACAAGTTCCTTGCTTAAACTCTATATAATTCAATATTGCTCTCAACATGAAGTTTGTTATTTGTAAATGTGCGGCAGGAGCTTATCGCAGTCTGCCATTGAGCCCGCTCTCACGTTTGTAAGGATTTACGCTGAGGCAAAGAAGGCTATGTTGTTGAGGACAAGAGTGAGAGGCTCGAGAGCGCCTATATTAAGAAATACCTGAATAGCTGTGAAAAGATAGCTTTGTACTGTCTTCGCATTTCTTCACTAGCGGCTTTCGATCCACCATCAAAAGGAAGCTTGAGTGTCGAAATTCACTGGAATGCTTCCAGGATTAACACTACCATTATGTTGTAAATTTTAATCAAAAGTAAAGCACTATAGGTCTGTATGATTACAGGTGTGCTACTATGGTAGTGTGCTTCAGAGTTATTGTGTTGGAGTGTTGTTATTGGTGTTGGTATGGTGTTGATGTCTATCATCGCCCGCGCATTGCAGGCGATGATTCCCTCACGAGAGCATATTTGGCAGAGGCGGACCATACTGGAAGACGGGCGCCTGGGCTACGGCTCACGCTTGATATACACACTTCATAATACTCGCACTCTGTTACGCTACACAACGAATACTGCTCGATTCACTCTTCGTTTCCATCGCAATTTGCATTACAATTCCACTGAACCACCGTGAAGTGTTAATAAAAGGGCCCATCAAAACCCTCAGTCCCAGCGCCCGTAACAGTGTTGATGTTGGCATCGGCGCTGGTGTTGGTCGCGTGTGTGGGTGTCTGGGTGTGTGGATGGTGTGTGATCAGAAAATCATAAATGTAGCTGTCCGCTGGGACGTAGAGCGTGCAAATTTGAAAGGGATACAGGAGGCTGAATTTTAGTACTCATGGAAGGCCATAGGAAGTAATAACATTTTAAGTACTGCCAAAAGTCTCACAAGGCAATATGTAGACATGGGATAAGTCCCGCCATTCGGGTTAGCAATGGAACTTTTGCATCTTGGTAGGTCATGTAGGGTGCCAAGAATCGTCGTAGATCGTTAGTGAGAGGAATTGATAGCCAACGTTAGGGTCTGGTAAAGAGTTATAGAATGCACCGACGTTGTCGTTGTCAGGGTTCCCACTGTCTACAGTGGGAACCCTGATAACGTGGATGATATGGATGTCATCGAATCATGGATTATTGACAACGGCTGATAATAATTGATATTGACCAGTAGTTAGGGAACAAAATGGGTTTTATTTTCTAGCCCCTTGCTATAGGTGTAATGGCAAAAAGAACACAGGGGGTGGAATTATTTGTTTAGTGACTAGTACACCTATATTCCCTCAATTTCTCAATCACTCCTATCTTCTTGATACTTTCCCAATCCTCACTTTCCCACGCTCTCTCACATTCCCTCTGACCTCCCTCTGGTTACCCTGCGGTCGCTTATCATGAAAAGCCAATTATTATCTGTTGGCCCTTACTACATAACAAAACACTCATTCTCAACATTTATGGATACATTCCTGTTGTTCAATCTCCACGGGTTGAGCGACTACGGCGTCACCCCGCTCTCCCGAATGTCTCTATGATGCACCGTTATTTATTTATTTATTTCCATACGTCAAAAGACATGCCAACCCAAACCATGGGCGTATATAATTACCGAAAACCAGGTCGGCAAAGGAAGAGGAGCGAGGAATGAAAAGAAAACTGAAAAAGAACAAAAAAAAAGAACAAACACCAAAGACTGCAAGAATCGACTCAGAAATCAGTTTGGATAGTTAGGGAAGCCCAAAAAGAACCTAGAAAGAGGTAGTTAAAGCGGGTAACTACAGCAATAACAGAACACCAGTATTACACAAAGAGCCCCAGTATTGCAAGAGAGGCAACATGAGCAGGAGGCAGTATCCGTATAAGTGGAACCCAATCATGAGAGTAGAGTTATGCCTTAGCAAAAAAAAATCAGAGAACAAACCTGGCCAAAGCAGAATCCTGGATACTCCAGTAGTCAAGTAGTCGTACTCTTTCAACATAACGCATATCATTCGACGTTAAACGTAAGGCCTTAAGAAGGTAACTCGAAGGACGCAACATTACTTGGGAGGGGCAGTCCCCTGAAAAACATCAAAGAGTGAACGCCATATCTGGGCTATGTATAGCTCGTCAAACCACAGATGAGACACGATCCTGCTGCTACTGGCTAGGAGTTTAACCTATTTATATAGTCCTTCTTATATTGCGTCTGTTGGTGTGTTTCTGTGTGTGCCAGTGTGTGTGTAGCATGTGTGTGTGGGTGTGTGTGTGGTGAGTGATATGCGTGTGTGTGTCTAACCGAATCCATAATCCGTGTCCCCGTGAACCTAGAGCGTTTAAATTTGGTAGGAGTACAGGGAGAAGGATGGAAACACTTATGAAAGGTGACAAGACCGGATTCCCCCCGCAGTGGGTGGAGGTTGACCGAAAATTCATAACTACAGTTCCCGTGCACTTGAGCGTTCAAATTTATTAGGGGTACAGATGGCAGGACTGGCAGGATGGGAACAGTATTGGGAGGTGACAGGACTCGACTGTGGGCGGGGCGCGCGTGTAAATTGGCATTTTGGACCTGAGGCATTCGGCAATATGCCAGATGTTAAGGCGGCAGTATGGGAACGCTGATGGGAGGTGTCATGACTTGACTCCGCCCACAGGAGGCGGGACGTACGCGAAAATGGCTAATTTTGACGGGGGGCGTTCAGGTTTGGAATGAGCGCAGACAGCAGATTTGAGACACCGATGGTAGGTGGTAGAAGGTAAACGAAATGAAGCCAGTCCGCCGAGGCAGGGGAGGAGGGGGGGGGGGGGGGGGGGGGGGGGGGGGGAATGGAATGTATGGGGTGTGGGGAAATGACCGCTTTTGAAAAATGAAAAGTGGAAATACGCAGTCAAGTTGGAATAAGATGGAATGAAACCAGCTGAATCCAACACACGAAGTGTGTCTGTGTGTTGCGCTGGATCAAAAGCTCCTGTTTTCTTGGACCAAAGATTTTCGAATTGGGAGAGTGCAGGCGGCAGATCACGTTTAACACAGAAAGGAGGTGCGATATCCAATTTCGCTTTCATGAATGACTAGAGTAGTCCTACAAAAAAAACTGTCCTATATGCATGCATATGCACTTCGCTTAGCTTTCATGGTACGCCTTCCATCTTCCGCTATACAAATGAAATCAAATGTTGCATAATTTCCTTATCATATGTATCTCGTCCAAAGGCGAACGTTTTGCTCTGAACTTATTGACATGGTATGAGCAAGAAACCTAAATGAAACCAGCTCAGCTAAGTTCTATGATTTCCGAAGTATACTCATGTGAAAAACTGACTAAATAATCACATGAGGTTCTAAAAACTACAACAGATGAATGGAACTATCGACATCGGGCTCCACAACGTCCCTATACAAAAATATCCGCCAATTATCAAAGCTGCTCTAAGAAGTAAATGCATGGATGAAAAGAAGTTTGTAAACTCGGTCCAGACCGTTCGCGTACAAAGCAGCTCCTCTAGTCACAAGAGTAAACCACTATGGTCACGGATCAGATAACAAGTAGTCAGTAACAAAAAACAACAAAAGCAGGCTCAAAAGTAAGCTGGATCAAATACTCCCATAATTTCTGAAACACCGAAATTGCACTGCAGTGATTCAAATTTTATTCTTGACCAAATTGAAGCAATATCAAATAAATAGACTGCGAAGGGAAATAACAAGGAGAATCAAGTGTTGATGTCAAAGAGATAATGATCGCATTTTGAAATGCGTTTTCATTTGATAAACAAATAAATAGAACGTAACAGACGACAAGAATTTAAAAAACACACAACCCCGTTCAACGTGCTCCACAGTGGCTGTTACCCACAGAAATCGAAAGAAGATATTAACAAAGTAAAAGTTTATCAAATTACAAATTGTGCAATGAAATTCAATGTGCCGATAGCGATGACTGCGGAGTGGATGAACCTCTTCCTAGGCGTCAGACGACCCTCCACATGCAATTTCCTCATATACACCAAGCAGGGCAGGGCGAAGACGTAGACTAAGCCAGAGAGCGAACCGACGTAGCTGAAAGTTTAGCAATAAGATCAGCGCATTAGGACCTCGAATGAATCAGTAAAGTCCTGTACCGAAGTATGCTGCCAACTCTAGGATACAGTATAGCAACCGCGACTGCAATTGAGATGATGCAGCAGTTCAAGAGAACAACTGGTCCAAGACTGAAATATTAGAAGAAAATAGGATGAAAAAGAAAGATTATCCAAGCGAAAAAAATAGGAAACATAATCAAACCCAGGCCACGTTTTCCCAGTGAATGCGTAGAAGAGCTGTGATCGGATCAGAAACATTAGAAGTGGAAGCACAGTAATCATTTGAAAAAGTAGAAACAGGCGAGCAGTGCTGCTAAGAATGTCGCCAGCACCAAAATTGTTCAGAAAATTCTGAAAAATGCTATTTATGAGTGTTTCCTAGAATCTCTCGAAGGCTGTTCGAGACTGAAAAGCTCAAGCCCTTCTTTTTTCCCTTTATGCGCTACAACACATACTCCGCGACTTTATGATGTTCCTTTTTTTCTATCAAGACTCATCTTCAGGGAACCCATGTTTTTTAAAAGCAACATTGGTGTCAAGCTGAATCATAATCTTAAGCCACCGCTGACACTCTCCGCGAAGCAGTCTTGGTTACGCCGTCATGCCGAAGTATGGCAAAAAATAGTTCATCAAATCAACGATGAGTTTAAGCGGAAAGTTGGATGGCTGAAAAGTATTGGAGCGTTGCCTGAATTGATTTCTTTCTCAACTCCAATCTAACAATGAGTGTTTTCATCGTCCACATATAGTAATTTTTGTTGAGTTCTACTTTAACAATACTTTATTCATTGACTTTATAAGCACTTATTTTACGCGAAAACAAGCGGCAGACACATGGAATAAATTATTTTTATAAAATTTATAATATTTTCGCTTTGTTAATCGATGCTAAAATCGAAAGCGTGTTTCGGAGAAAAAAGTGGCTTTCTAAGCATACTAGTATTGTTTAGTCACCCTAGAAACCTAGAAAATTTCGTTTCCCAATTTGAATATCATGAAAGATAAAGGTAAATGAATAAAATGCTGATGGGTTTTATAAAGCGCTCTTGTTGCTTTCGATAAAAAAGTAAGCTTAACATTCATATATAGTAGTAGTGGACGACTTGGCTCTACGAGCGTTCTATCCTACGAAGATTTCAACGTAACACACCTAACCCTAGCCATCCTTAGTTACAGTACAAAATGTTAGCTATTGAAGGTGTGTGTTTTCTAATCAGTAATATACCAGTCACTGATCTCAAGCCGTTGCCAACATTGCTTCGATGGCATCCTCCGGTTGATCTCCAGATTGTAGGTTGACCAAGAGTGGGTTTTATGCTCGAATGAAAACTCTGATGATTCAAGGAACCGAGGGAGTTCTTCATTTCGGCGGATCAAGTTCGACGTACAATCAGGTGTCTATATAAGCGGAGTCGGGGCTCATCAAAGATTTAAAGTTCCATATAGGGGGGGGGGGGCAGGGAATTCGGGTGACTGTTAATTGGGATACTACATTTACTCTATCCAGATCACGTAGAGAACAATGTACTCGATAAGTACACCTTGAGAAAAAGTGATCCCATCAACCACGGATAGGAGCTTCAGAGGTTTTTTTTTTTTCGGAATCAATGTTATCATAAGAGAATTATTAGTAATGAGCAATACACGAGTGTCCTGAAAGCATCTGCCAAAATACGGCAATTTTTCAAAACAACATGACTTTTCAATCAAATTTCAATACACAACAAAATATTGCCATCGATATGACAACGTTTCGCCCACGTTCCACAGCGCCAAAAATTTCTTTCGCGCCAACTTCGGTGACCTAAGAACGAGGAAGTTCGAAAGCTCGAAGTGGTCATGATCATAGTGACACTTCTGTTAAAAATAATGCTGAAGCGATCGGAAGACTAAGTAGTCGCTTGTAGCCAGGTGTTCGTTGTAGGTGGGTGCAGCGGAGCTTCCCTTCACAGGTCCAAAATTTTCTGGAGACTTTTTCGCGATGTGAGGAACGCATTCTACGCAGCAAGCGTACTTTTCTCGTGAGGCTCCTTGCCTACCCTGTCAGCCATTATTGCAGTGGAACTCAGCAGTAAGCATCGCTATATCTGGCAGAAAGCATCCCAAAGCAGTAATCCCATAAACTCAAACCCTGAGCATACCCCGCTAATAGATTCCAGGTTTCATAAAAAATTTCGGCGTTCAATTGTGGTCAGACCAGACAGGTTGCGGATGTGGTTGATGTAAAGAACCCATTTTCCTTTGTCAGCAACGAAAATGTTCAGTCAGTGAAATGCGCGACTTCGAAAGAACAGCTAGAACGAGGTGACCAGGTATCCCGGGGATTGCTGACGGTGAGTTTATGTGCTAGTTACTGTCCGAGTTTTTCACCGTTCGGAAGTATCGCAGTCCATTGACCACTTAGGCCTCTGAACATTTTTCAGCAAAGGTAAAAACACTTCATTTGAATGCTGTTACGCCAGTTTTTTTTTCAGTTTGACTAGCGTTATCACAGTAGGTCGACCAAAGCGAAGCTCATTATCGCTCCTTATTCACAGCTGAGCTGTGGCAACAATACGCGCACAAACCGTTAAAGGGGGTTTCAGAAAGTGGCTGGATTCGAACTCCCAAAGGAGTTAGTGTCGAATGTGAGTAAAACGCTCGGTCATGATAAGGTCAAGTAAGCAGGAAGAAGTAGCCGGATAAGATTTGTGTATACGCGTCGTAGAACCCTTACATATCGATTTCATGAAAGCTTCATTGCAAACTCGATAGAAATCAGGACTAATGCAAAATCTACGGCTTACTTTCCGACCTCCAATGTAGCAGAATGATTTAACTCGCGAAACATAGTAGGTGCCGTATTGCTCCTTAGTCCACGGTGGGTGTAAGACAGGTTAGAGGACAGCATTGATAATGAGATTGCGATATTTCCTTCGGCGTTAAAAAGCTACCAGATAGCTTAGTCAGATCTTATTTCGTGACCCTTTTTCGTAGTAGAAGGTGGCTAGTGAGGAGATGTGTGATAAACACCTGAGACTTGGTATGCAACTTGAGCCTTAATTACACCAGTTCAGAATTTAATCAAGTCATAAGCTCACAAACCGCCCTGCGTCTTCCTTGTTCACTCAAATCAAGACACTACGAAGCAAAAGAAGGAGGATTAATATGTTCGATGACCGAATGCTGACGGGCCTATGGCCGAAGTTATGGCTGGTACTTGTCAGCTGCAGAAAAGTGAAAGAAAAAGAGTTCTTTGACAAGTTCGTGAGTAACCCTTTCTTTGATAAAACCATAACTACGCGTGAACAAGTAAAAGGAGGACAACTAGCAATTGCACAGCAACTGCTACATGGATCGGTTCACTATGGTCTCGGCTATAATGATCAGCCATCCGAGAATCCGCTTTCATGGGAATAGCTTCGTGTGGCGTTGACAGCCACAGTGAAACGCATCATTTGACAACAGCCTAGGGATGTTTTAGTGGCCTTTGGTGGTAAAGAAGACTATATGGAAAGATTTACACAAAACTCACAGAAAAGACAAAAACCCACGTCACTTATACAAGTCCTCTGCACTGGGAAACCAGCATAAAACGTGAAGCCGATGAATACGTAACATAGAGCGGCTAACAGGTAACCGATTGAGAGATCGCGTGCCTGAAGAACATGACTGTTTTGACAATATGACTTGCTCTGTCCGAAACTCTGCACTTCTCACATCAGCGCATGTAGGCTGAGGTTGTTTTATTCATTGTTGGTTCATGTGAACAGATGGATTTCCTCGAAAATGGAGTCGACCAACTAGCTATGTGGATAAACTCAGCTTTTCCACCCTACAGACGCAATCCGAATTGAGAGCTACGTAGACTTACCATGTATCTAACCAACCGCAATGTGAACACCACGAAGCAAAAGCTATTTCTGGATTTGGCGATATAAGGAAAAGATGGAGGGAACTTGGACTATCGAGTGCGTTTTTGGATAGTTGTGCACTAAGATTTGTCACATAAACGCATATCATAAGTAGTATTTAGAGAGTGTATCACGTAAAGCTGAAGAACGAAAGAGCTCTTCGTGGGTGTGGTGCAGTAGGATCGAAATTGTCGCGCTGCGACGAGAGGGCGAGGGAAAGTAGCAGAATGCAGCAGCAGGTGAGAGATGCAGCAGCAAAAGACCCAACAGTAGAATCATGCCTAAAATAATGATCGCATATCGGCTGAGCTGTACGAGGAACGCTAGAGCTGTAATAATGGCCAAGCGAACGGTTCGCGACAGCCGATTGGTAACACAGAATCGTTCCTACTGCTCCTCTCAAAACATTTAGAATTATCAGACAACCAATCATTTCTAACTGCTACATACATTTACAATTATATTCCGTCGAAAAGCGGAAGTATAGGTTGAAAATAGGTCGTCGATAGAGAAAAAAGCAAGTAAATTCGCCGATTTCGATGGAATTATTGCCCCTTAAAATAGGGAAGATAGAGGTTGTACGAAATTACCATGACGGAAGTAACACGGAAGAGGTTTTTAGACGAATTTCAGTTGTTGCAATTGTATAACGAGCTGAAAACATCAAGCCAGAACTGTACAGAACTGCCTTCCACTGTCGCTATGGATCATGGCAAGTTGTTGGAACTTCCTGCATAGGTTCCCTCACGATTGGTGCAGCCTCTACAGTGTCGGTGTAACTCGTCCGAGGATACGCACGGTGCAATCTTTGAGCCTTCATAACGCCTTATCTAGGCCGTTTTCGGACTTGACAGCGCCACAGCAATCCGTTTGCAACGGATTAATCCGTTAGTTATATTATTTACCAGTACATAGTGAACTAGCTGTAAACAGGACGTGGCTGGACATTAGTCGTACATACATAAGCAAATAACTTGTGAATTCTGGGAAAAAATTCAAGTGCAACAGATGATAGGAGTGAGATAATTTTCAAAGTTCACCATGTTGTAACATCGCACTCACATTGTTCTCAGGATTCTTCTGATTTCGGAGAATAGTAAGCACTGCATTGTGAATGAAATAGGACAATGTCAGCGTACCAGTGAGAGCGGGAAATCGCCAGCTGATCGCTGAAAAGGTGTTAAAAAGATGGTGTAGTCGAGTAATATCATAAGCAAATCCAGTGACGTTACCTGCGGCATAATGAATTGAATTTGGATCACTGAAGTTCATGTTCATTCCGCATTCGAGTAGCTTTGAACCGGTAAAGATAAGCAGATAGAATACCGATAGCGTTCCAAGCACGTTGAATTTGGTGAAGAACGTCGGCGATTTGAAGTTGATCAAGGGTAGAGTTATAACAGCGAGGTATACAGGCACGGTACCCAGAAAAGTATATCACAGTAGAATCGGGTAATGATATCTATTATATCAAGACAAAGGTTGGAAAAATGTAGTCTCAGCATTGGTTCGTCACAAACACAGTTTTTTACTTCTAGGATAAGCACAAAATGAGTCACAGATCATACGGTACTGAACTAAAACTCTATCTCAACGAGGACATCTTGATTCCCGGAACTGTGGGAACAATTGATTTTACAAAACACCAGAATGCTCGGGGTTATCTGAGGGCTCGCCTAAGGGCGTATGGGATGGTAACGAATCACGGGAAGCTTGCACATTTCAGGCGGAGCTCCAAAGGTGAGCTGTTTAGCTTGATCAGGAAAGTGGAACTGGAGTACCTGGCGACGCGCCTGATCCTTTATACCTACTGATAAATAACATGATCAACAATAACGGTTCAATAAGGATTCGATTCATCGGGTCTACAGGGTTGTCGACCAATAATGTTAACAATATTGGGTTTTTCGAAAATCTTCCGCCTTTTCTGAGGTCGACTATGAGTAGAAAATTCCAGAGGACAAATGTGAACAATATAGTACACCCAGTTCGTTCAACACTAGTTCCCTGGTTTTTTGGGAAATTTGTCATCCCACATTCGTCCAAGGTTCCAGACTTTGTATCAAAAAACTGCTCAAGGTGTGATTTGCAGTTCCCCACAGAATCAGACCATTTACCACAAAACGAACTTCGCAGAGATTTCGATGAACAGTACTTTGATGGCGCTATATCTGGACCATATGTGGGATGAGATAAGACGAAAAATCCAGAGTTCAGCAAATTTCTACAAGCGGTCAAAGATACTTGCGGTCTTTCGTTCTGTTGAGCCGTATTACTCATATTAAATAAATCCCAGTCCCCAAGCAACATAGCACATCCTTCAACGCATGGATCTCGATTCCTGGCACGGTTAGTGGCGTCACTGGGATTATTCCACGACCATTCCGTCTCTCCCTCGTAGCTATCGCGCACAATCCATTTCCCAGACCCGTTACCATGATCTCCAGGGAATGGTGTTTTCTACTATATTGAGCCAATGAATCGCACAAGAAAACACGGCCTAACAGGCAGCGGTTCGTTCGGTTCGTGAGGTATCCGAACATATAGGCGGCTACCAGACCACATTCCATAAAATGGTGGTGAACAGTTGAGTTCAAAACAACGATCCTTCGACTATCCTACGAAAAGTCACGAGCCGATTCGTTTTGACTTTTGGTTATCCCACCACGAGTAATTACGCGTCAATTGGTTGTGATTAGTATTCAGATCTGGTGGTCATTAACTGGCGATGGTTGCACCGTCCGTTGTCGAGTTTTTTTGGGCAAGTTCCTCTACCTTAATTTTGCAAACCTCTCACTGTACACTCAATCTTATTGAGTATACTCTCCGTTGACGTCACATACACTCTTGGCAATTTGAGCTGTTATTTTCCTACGTGGTAGAAAAAAGAGGCCAGGTCCGAGAATGTCCTTGACAGTTCCTCACTTTCACATCAGCTCTACAGGAGTCCTAGTACCAAACTCATCTGAGAGTTGAAGACATTTATTATCGGCCAGCTCCCTTTAGTCAATGTATGGATCACTGTGAATCGAATCGGGAGTATGACCGAATTGTGATTAAATCGATGGATAGAATCTTTCCTGTTCGAGCGTACTTTCCAAGTGAGGGTGAACAATTCATTCTCTTCTGTCAGGTACTCCCCTAGTGGAGTCCCTCAAGGAGGGGTCTTATATCCGGTTTTATTTAATGTTTATACTTTCGATCTTCCTGCTACGGTTGAGAGCCACGGAGTATGCTGCAAGATGTTTGCAGATGAAGTTAAGATTTATAAACCATTAAGGTCTTCTGATGACTTTCTTGCTATTCAGAGAGCCATCGGCGGTATCCTTGATTGGTCTAAAGCCTGGTGTCTACCCATTTCTATTGAAAAAACCAAAGTACTGCATCTGGGTAAAAACAATGTCCGCAATACCTACTCTATTTCGAACTCTCCCATTGCAGTTGCCTCTGTAGTTAAAGATCTTGGTTTTACGATCACCAGCGAGTTATGTTTTGATGCACATTGCTTTAACATAGCTGCTAAAGCGGAATCTAGGCTTTTTCTTCTCCTTCGTGCACTCTTTAGTAAGGATCCTATCGTTTTGCTCAAAGCCTACAAAATGTACGTACGACCTATACTTGAATACGGGACCGTAATTTTTTCACCATATAAGAAGTGAATTATACAGTACATTGAAAGGGTTCAAAATAGCTTCACGAGGAAAGTTTTCATTAGAGCGCTTGGTTACACTTACAACAGCATCCCTCGTGCTATTGTAAGGAACAAAATGTTGCATTTAGACTCTCTTAATAAAAGGAGAGTAGTGAACGATTTGATGACGGTGCATAAAATTATTATGGGCACAATCTCACTCGCTTCTACCAAATTGTTCNCCTTCAAATCTTCAAAAACAAGAGGGAACCCAAGCAAATTATGCTTTGCTTCGATCAAAACCTCACTAGGGAAGCACTTCTTTACTCACAGAGCTGGCTTAGAATATACCAAGTTTAGCAAAAGAACTAGATTTTCACTCAAGCTTTCTAAGGTGAGACGAGGAATTTCTCAGTTCTTCAGGAATCGCAGCTAGTTGTCACCTTAGCCATTGTTGTTGTGTTGTTCTTTAACAACGTTGTTACCTGTTACTGGTTCCCTTAATTTGTTGTTCTCATTGTTCACCAATAATAGACGTTCTCCTTTGTTTGTTGCATTTCTTCAGATGTTTATAACCACGTTTTAGGTAATTGCTTGGTTGTATTTGTTTTTATTGTTTTTTCCTTTCACATGTTCTTTAAGGGCATGTAATAAATTGAAATTGAAAATTGAACTGACTTGAGGTTGGCCACCTCAAATCATTGATTTAGCCACTTGCTTTCAAAATGCCCCTTCAGCTCTACAATTATAGTGCGTGTCCAAGTCGAATCCATGGAGATCAAAAAAGAGTACTGATCAACTTCGAAATCTTGATCTTTTATGCTTTTATCTTGATATGGCGGATTCGATGACAAACTTCTGTGTAGGCTATACCAATGCGCCGTGAACACCGATTGTACATTTTGCCGTTGACAAAAACGCGTGTATTCAAACGAAAGTAGTCATTAAGTTGAATATCTCTTCACGTCCTTCCATATCAAATGCGGAATAGAACTGCACAATTTACAGAGAAAAGAAGTTGGAAATCAATACCTGCAGTTGCCAAAGACTATCGAAATCCCAGGACTGCCGCGACCAGCTCTCGGAAAACTTTATATATTCCCTTTCCCAACTTGATAGAGGAGATGCTCTTTCCGTTGGACAGTACACTGCAAAACATTCCTTTCTTCGACGTAAAAACTTGTTCCTCATCAATGCACTTCTTTGTTCAGTTGAAGATGGATTACACCACGAAGGTCCAAAGAATAGATTAACTATATTAAGTATCGAATAAGGAAACATGACGATACAAGATTCGTTTGCGTAGGGCGTGCAGGTTAGCTGCCACGGTGTTGTAATGGGTGTGATAACTCGATACTGACCCGTCCAACAACAATGAGCTCTCGCGATCGGGTTCGTCTAGTATTCGAAAACTCGATAAACCTTTTCATCCTCATTTAATCATGATAAAACTTTCATCTGAATCAGATCAAACGAAAGTATAAAGTGAGAAAAAACTATGAAGTTCAAGAAGCGGAAGAAGACATTGGTGTTCCGCTTTCAATTCGCTTCCATTCTAGCACCATCGACTCATTCACAATAAATTCCAACTACCGATATTTCAAATCAACCAAGTATCAGGATAGAAGAGTGTGTCGATAGGAAAGAAAGTGGAAAAGTGCAGCAATTGCAAAATGAGGATTATATATTGTTACAACGAAAGATGTTTTAGCGAAATTTCAATAGTGTGCAAATGCGTAAAGGTCCGATCGTTGTAACCCTGCTGCCATAAATCGCTTTCCACTATTACCATGGGTCAGGACCATGCAATCATTACGATGTGCTGCTATCGCGGTATGTGGCTGCTCCAATATTAAAGATGCGGCCTCTACAGGGCTTCCGGATGCGATTACCGGCACACCTAATCTTTGATCCTTATTGCGCCCTATCTAGCTGGTTTTTCAAAACAGCATCGCTTTTTGTGTCATCTTTAATGCTATAGATTCGTTTCAGTGATCAACCACGGCTACCATTCGATCGTGAAGAAGTGCCTTCAGGTTCCAATATAAATAGCCTTCCTCTATATCCATGGGTAAGCTTAGATAATGTCTGCTGTAGATTTAAGCTTTGGAGCAACACAACTAAGAGAAAAATAAGACGAAACTCACCATCGCAGGTGAAGGTCTTGTTCTCCATAATAGGGATAGTCGAGCTGTTTGGCTGAAGAGACTCTGAAATTGAGCAGTCAAAAGTCCTCAGTGAAGCTTCAGAACCAAACATTCAATGAAAGCCAAAGAAGTGATTTCACCGTAAACAACGGTTCCTGTGTAGTAGAGGAAGTTCGACATAAGAACCCAATAGACCATGATGCCACCGAGTAGAACAATCACTGAGAAGATTACGGCGAGGTATTCCCCGAATTTTCCAAGAAAATGCCGGCAAACGTCTGAGAACTCCATCATGATCGGATCCATGCCACCAGCTGCAAAAAGAGATCGGAAGCTTTATATCTCGAACAAATCCAAATAAACGGAATACAAATCCAATGAAGTTTGAAAAAGTTCTATGTATTTATTTGCCAGAATCCGAACACCCAGCAAACTAAGACGTTCACTTCTAGCTCCTACGAACGATCTCTCACAGCTTTGTCAGCGCCAAATGGACATCTGCTGTCTGCTTGTCTGTCGATCTTCAAGGTACTTACACACTTCTCCCTCTCCTATCCATTATTTACCTACCTATTGCGATATAAGAGAATTCTAGTGACAGGATACACAGATAGTGAAGAGGCAGTGTAGCATGTTTGTTTTCAATCCCACCCTGACCCACAACAAGTATTACCATATTCATAAACATATCATTTGATTCACAAATACTGCTTTCGTACTTCGTTATACCACTTGGTTATCTTCTATACAGCCAGGATTTGTTCACAATGGTGCGTATCACTGGTGAAGTCTTGAATGAACATTACATTATTACTCTCAATCATTTTTTCTAAATCTTCGACGTTCACCTACTTTCTGTCGACATCAAGCTACCGCTGAACACGATACAGCCTTCGTGATCGTCGCTGAGGTTATTGTAGCCTATAGGCAGCGTGCAGCTGCGCTTGACGTTTACGTGTAAGAGGCACAAAATGGTTCAGTCGTCATGCTGTTTTTGATCAGATTCAGCTTATCGCAGAAATCATTTGTATTCGCCTAGGACTGGCTCTGAGCTCGTCCAGCCGTTCCTTGGCCGTGGAAATGTTTCAACTTTTCAGTGACGCTCTCGAGAACTTCATGCGTCATTTGGGATGGTAAGAAATGAGAGAAAAAGATCAGCCGCCTTTACCTACATTTCCTTCACATTGCAACGGCATTGTGTTTATCATATCGAAGAGCAAGCAAGCAGAGCGAACATTGACCAAATTCGACAACGCTTCAGGAGAGAAGCATGAGATGGACCTAGCGAAGAAAATGTCAATGAGAAGCAAAATACAACTGATGCTCCCTTGGTACTGAGCTACCAATGCCTGAGCCATGCCATCTACCCTGTGAGCTTCGAAAGTCCCTCCGAAGGAACCTCTTTTTAATATCGAGAGTAATGAAGAACCACCTCAACGCGGTGGGTGTGTGAACGTGGGGCGTGTGGGCGTGTCCGCTTTACCACTCTTGTTTAAAAAAAAAACCGGGTTCTGTAATTTTTTTACTATTCCATCATTTGCTCCAATGCAAAGTTCCGGTAATTTCCAGTTATGCGAGGCTTTATATTGACCGACTTGCCGCTTCGCGTTCGAAGCTGTGGTTAGGTAGTTGTCGATGAACTGGAGGGATGGCGGCCCCCTTGCTTGAGTCCCCCTTATCCGTTCGCCCGAGGTCGCGGTTGAATTCGTTCTTCACGCGTTAAGTTGCACACGGCAAGCCCCGGTACATTACGTCTAAATCACTGCGTTCTGGACTAAGGACAAGGACTCGCTCGGGGAAATATCTTCCTACCAAAAGGGAGGCAACCTGTTGCCCTGCCACATGCTTTCGTCTTTAACGTCAGATGTCGGCTTGTATGGTCCGAAAGCTCTCGCCAGCATTTTTCTACTGTTCGATGGTAACTTTGCTTGGAGCTTTCATTGTCCATTCAATTATATTTATAAAAAATATATATGTATATAAATCATCGGCACGTCCGCATGTCCACACGGCTAAGAGTAGGCCCCCCACGTGCTAGAGCCTGGCAAGTTACACGTGGATTCCATGCCAAAAACAGTAACAGAAATGGGCCTCATTCCCCTGAACCTGAGGGAGCCCCCAATACGGCGGCGTTGGGTAGGACCGCTCGGGAGAGGCTGCTAAAATCTCAGGGCCAAAACAGGCTGCCCAAAAGGAGAAGGACTAAGATGGCGATCTGTACTTTCAACGCAAGGACGCTTGCATCGGAAGCGTGTATAGAAGACCTGATGATGCAAGCTAGGAAAATCAAGTACGACGTCATCGGACTGACCGAGACGAGAAGGCACCGCCCGCTGCACGCTGTATTTGAAACTGGAGAAGAACTGTTCCTTGGAACATGCGACAGCAGAGGCGTCGGCGGTGTAGGTGTCCTCGTCAACACGCACTTGGCCATGAACATCGATTCGTACGAAAGCTTAACAACCCGAATCNGGGAGTAGTGAAGAAAACGAAGAACATCCGCTCACCTTTTCGACACTGCGGTACTTCCTGCTTTGACATACGCCTCAGAGACTTGGACTCTACGAAAGCAGGATGAGCATGCAGTTAGCGTCATTCAACGCGCTGTGGAAAGGACGATGCTCGGAATTTCCCTATACACGCAAGTGCAGAAGGGAATCCGGAGTTCCGAGCTCCGTCGACGAACGAAGATCAGGGATGCCGTTGATTACGCCAAGAGATCGAAGATCAGGTGGGCCGGACACGTTATGCGATATAATGATGACCGTTGGACCAGGGCGGTTACGGACTGGATCCCTCGGGACGTCAAGCGAACACCAGGACGGCCGCCAACGAGATGGTCAGACTTCTTCACGAAAGCTCTGAACGAAAGGAATGTATTGCCCCGTGTCCCTCGAGCGAGTGCGATTCACTGGACTACTCTGGCTCGCGACAGGGACGAATGGAGACGTTACTGGCGCCCGCTCGAGGAAATCGACGATCAACGGGAGTACAGGTGACAGGTGACAATGAAGAAAGCTGTTTACATCCGGCTCCACGCTTTTCTCTTCGATACTGCCTGGACATGAGAGGCAAAGAATCTATGTCGGCAGGAAGAACCTACAGTCAGCGTTATTCAGCATTCTAGAAGCGCCTCAGGGTCTTCCATACACGATATTCCTGAATTCTGGCTTTGTCAAGAATGAAAATCACGAAAGCCATAACTTACGTAGAGCAATCGAAGAATACATGAGCTCACTATCACTACCTCATGTGACTTTGTGGTGAATGCTGGCTACGGCATGCTGAATGAATTTTTCGGGATATCAAACGAACACCAAGACAACCGTCAGCCTAAGGGTCAGACTTCTTCAGGAGAGCTCTATGCATGTCTCGCGTCCCTTGACGTCTGGGCACCCATCTGCGCATACCATGGAACTGTGCAATCAGCTTGTCAAGATTAAGCGAACTTGCCCGGATCTTACAGAAACATTTCGACTCCATGCCTTTAATGTGCTGAGAAAAACGGAGAACCTGTTACCTGGTCTTTCTCGATATAGAAAAAGCGCTCGAAGCTCCGGGATTAATGTGTGAAGGGCGATCCCTTCCAGAACACGGAATTTCCCTACAATTAGTCAAAAACGCGGCTACAGGTTTAGAATAGTCAGAGGCTCTCCTGGCGGCATAATGAAAAACGAAGTTAAGAGACGTCATCTCTAAGTCTACTAACGATCGCTATCGCCAAGATTTCGCAGATGGTCTGCTCTAGACTGCCCTCCAAGTTGATGACACCGATCAGGTCGCGGACAGTAGGAGAAACCTACAGGACAAGTTGCAGAAAGGTTGACTGCAATAGACGAAAATAAGTTCTTACTAGGCGCAAACAAGACAAAACTTCTGAGATTCGAGAAATGCGTAGAGCCAGTCGTTCACTGTCTGGATAACACTTGATAGTTGGGAAAAATCTGATCGTTGCCGGTAGCATGAAGCAGGCCGCAAACGCTCGAATAATGTACTAATGAAAAGTAGCTCAATGGTATTTTCTACCATACACAAAGCTCAAAAAAAAAAGAATCACGGAGAAGGGCGAAACCAACGATGCTTTGCGGCAGCGAGTGCTGGACTACATGAGGAAAAACACTGTAGCGCAACATTCACAGTTCGACGAAGTAAACTTGCCTCCCAAAAGAAGCGAAGCAGTGCAAACACCCTCTCCTCCCTATTCAGCTGAAGTTGAGAGGGCAGCGCCTGTGATGGCTTGGCCAAGGGTAGGAATCGAATCAAAGCGTAAGCCACTACAAGGTTCTCTAAACAAGAGGTGGCGGGACGTGATCAACGCGGACCTCGTCGCAGCGAATATGACGGCAGAGGATGTCGTAAATAGAAGGGAATATCAACGAATAATAAGAACAGCTAACCCTGCCGATACTGCTTTTAATCTAAGGGGAGGAAGAGGAAAACGGTGAAACAGATGCGATTAGGTAGGAGTAGAAGTCGAAAAATTGTGGCTTGAGTTTGAGTCTTCGAAATGTATCGTATTTCTCTGTATGCTATTGATAGGCTTACCGCTTCCATACATCCTAGGTGAGGCATTCTTGAGACTAAATTGCAAAGCTTCTGCGAGGGTTTTTACAAATATACCGAAAACTCATTCAACGAGATTTGAAATTGTTCAAAATTCTGGATAACTCTATATTCAATCAATCGTCCAGTCGAGTTTGACTACATTCATCTGACAAATCAGGATTTACTCATGAGCAGAAGGATAGATACAATACGGAGTCAAAGTCTTTGGTATCCTCATTCGATTGCGTCTCGATATTTCAACGTTGTTATACAGATAACTGATGAAAGAAATTGAATCTCCAGCGAAAACATTAGTAAACTTATTCAGGGTATCCCTTTAAAGAAACACCTTGAGTTCGAAACCTACATCAGACATCCACGAATTGCAGAAGGAAAACGGTTGCAACTAATCGAAGTAAGCTACCAACCTACCAGGACTTAGCAAGGAACCTACTAGAACCTAGCAGGGCTTGAGAGAAGTGGAAAGAAGCTCCACAAGAAATTACTTAGGATTGTTACATTGCAATATTACGCATCTCCCCACTCCAATTGTGATCCTAAACTTCAAACTACGAAGAACCTTTCAGTTTTATCGAGACAACCCTGCTCTCAAACATCACAATCGTTTAGCAATCAGAGAGGCAATAACTGGATGTTGCAGAAAGAAATAGCAGTTTGCAAAGCTTCAACGTAAAAGGAGTCCTGTTCTTTCAGGAATACGCCCTACTAAAAAACTGGTCAACTGATTAGGATGAATTTCTACTGAAACATAGATTTAGTTTGTTCAAATTCGCAGTAAGGGAGGTTATTTATTGTTATTTCTCTACTTTGTGACCCCTTCATCCAATGATCTCAGTAACGTATGGTCTTTTTGAAGTCCAGATCACATTTATTTGATGCATGTTTAGTAGCGGCTTGCATTCACAGATTTGATCACACAGCAAGCCTTTTCATTTATATCGACTCAGTCGGATCTCCACGGCTGACTCTACTGAAAGCGATAGCATAACATTC